TAAATAAATAAAATAATATTTTTTAAAAAAATCACTAAAATTTTATATCAAATTATATATATATATATATATATATATATATATGTGTGTGTATTTGTTAAAGCTACATCCTTCCTTTCCACTAAATTATTCAAATTGTACTAGTCTCATGTCTTCAATTCCATTTTCATCCCATGTCTCTCATTCTCCATTTTTGTATTATATTTGCAACCATTGTCCTTGCCTCCAACTTCACCATCTCATCTCTATCTCAACTTTGCTCCTATCTTTTTCAACTCCACTTCTTGTTTCAATCCCCCTCTCTCTCTCTCTCTCCCCCCCCCCCTCTCCCTTCTTCTCCTCCTCCTTCCCTCTTCTCTATTTCAATTCTACTCCCATCTTTAATTTATTATATGTATAATTAAAAAAATAAAAGATTAATCACTAAAATTTTAAAAAAATAAAAGATACAAATATTTCATATGTATATATATATATATTTTATTATAAAATATTGATAAAATATTATTAATATTTTAGTATTTTTTTTTAAAATAATAAATTTTACAACTAAACTTTATTAATTTTAGATGTTAATTTCACTTTTAGTTATTTGATGAAGAAGTTTACTTTTATTGTATCACAAAAAATATTTTACCACAATAATAATATTTTTTTTAAAAGTAATAAAGTGAAATCAAATATATTGATTAGGTGAATTATAACAAGAATATTAATCTTTAAAATTAAAATTGCACATGTATTTGTTTGGATAAAAATATTTATTTGTATAATTTTGATTCTATTAAAAATAAAAAGGTGTAGCTAAAATTGTTACTATCATTATAGATTCTTTTATACACATAATTTTAATAAATAGGTTCAATTTTAATTTTAATTTGTAACTTAAGAAATACTTTTTGATGATGGTGTTTGTTTAAAATAGGAACAAAGTTTTAATCAATAAATCAAAAATTTCTTATATATATATATATATATATATATATATATATATTCTTTATTTTTTATTTCTTCAAAAAAGAATTAAATATATAATCTAAAATTCTTAGTTCAAAAGTTATTGTTTTTTAAAAAGTTTTATATTTTTGCTAAAATACAAATGATATATTATTAATATTTTATAGTAAAATATACTTATATATGAAAAATATTTATATGTTTATGTTTTATTTTAGTGATCAATTCTATATTTTAGTTAAATATTATTTTTTAATTACACATATAATAAATTAGGGACGGGGTTAGGGATGGAAGAAGAGTCAGGACAAAGGAGGGTGGAAATAAGGGGTGGAGTTAGGACAAGGGAGAGTGGGGACAAGGGGTGGGGTTGGGATGGGGTGGTGGGGTTGAGGTGGGGATGGTGGCTGGAAACAGGGTATGATAACAAGGAAATAGAGATGTGCGCTAGGAACGGGGTTGGAAACATGGAACTGCTACTATTTTTTTCATATAGATCTTAATTTAATTAGTTGTTCAAGTTGACAACATCAAAGTTCTCAGAGATTTTAATTTTTGGTGCTTTAATAGTCATCTCTAAATGTCACAATTTTCCACACAAAGATGTGGCAGTTGTACTCATGCACAAAAACTCCTTCAAATATTCTTGTGCTCACAAATGAACATAATGTAGATTATTATTATCAATTTTTTTTACTTCAATGAAGGTGTAAATTTGAAGACTTAATTAATGAATAAAGTTTTCAATATTTTAAAATAAATAATTAAAATCTGACAATACTTTTGTCTCATTTTAAAAAATTAGACGTAGTAAAGATAAATAAAAAAATGATAAGAAGACACATGCAGATATGTATGTGTGTAGAGATATATATAATTCTACAATAATTTTCCTACTTCTATGACGTGTAAGTTTACAACAAAGCATTATATTTTACATTTATCACAACCCAAAATCAACCCAAATCTTTTTTACAATACTGCATGGACATTTATTTCAAAACATAGCAAACTCATATTCTACAAACCCAAAATGAAAACTGAATTCAAAATCAAACTCTACAAAAAAAAATTTGATTTTTCGAAGTATGAAAGAAAAATCGATTTCTTGTTTATTTTTCACTCAATCAACATGCTCACATGCAATACAGTGTCTCATCCATCACTCGCCCCTCATCCATCCATCCATCATCCATCATCCATCCATATATCATCCATCATCCATCCATCTATCATCCATCCATCATCATCCATCTATCATCCATCCATCATCCATCCACCGTCCATCCAACATCCATCCCTCTCCCTCATCCATCACCATCCATCATCATCCATCTTCCATCCAACATCCATCCATCATCCATCTTTCATCCATATTCCATCCAACATCCATCCATATCACTCATCCCTCATCCATCCCTTACCATCGTCCATCCCTCGCTCCTCATCCAATAACCACGTCCACTGCATTCATCCACCTCTCCCACTTCTGCCATCCATCTTCCACACTATTCATCCAATTTTTAAAAGACATTCATCCATCATCAATCAATCCCATGGAGACAATCAACCAACCTCACACCATCCATTCACAAATCCCAATTCGCACATTCATCGCTCTGAAACCCTCATCCTTACACTCTCAACATCCATCTCCCACGTCCACACCATCCCACACTATCGTCCATCCATCCAAACAACAAAGTGGGGAGGTGTGAACAAGACTCTCGATGGGCGGAAGAATGAGCCAACGGCCCCGAAGGACGTCAGAATCGAAGCAAGCGAGGAGGGTGCGGACACTGCCCGAGCAGGCTGTGCAGGTACCGTCCATACAGCAAAATAATAGACCACCAGGTCTAAGTTTCCCTAGACCAACCGCCGCTAGGTGTAGGTTTCCTAGGTAGTAGGGTAGAGTAAAGTAGAGTAGGTACACTCAATGTCTGATGATATTATGATAGGCGCACCTACTGTAGCCCAGGGCCTGGCAGCTCCTCCTCCTCATCGCACCTTAACTTTAGATGGAGCGTAGTGGGGATTCATCAGAAACATGAGATCCCTCAACCCCCGGTATTTAATGCAAGGGTCCCATACAGTGTGGACCTTGAGGAGGAGGAGGTGGAGGTTGGGGCGAACCCATCAAACCACCCCTTCCTTCATTGGAAATTCTGCAACTATCCTTTCTGGTAGTATCCAAGGAACGAACGACACCCACACTACCCACTCTGGAGAATATGCTAGACTTGCCACATTCGGGATCCAATATCTCTCCCTGTGGATGTAGAATTAGCAAACTGGTGTGTGTGTGTGCGTGATTTTTTTCTTTTTTTTTTTTTTTTTTTAATCCTAAATTTGATGGGAGGTAAACGTGTTATTGTGAATCCAGTAAATTTGAGGAGATATGTGATGTGATGTTTTTGGAGCAACGTCAGTGAAGAGTCTATTATTTAATGGAATCATCCTTGTGGCCCCAAGTTTGATGACACATGAGATGTAAAAGGAAAAGCACGGTGTCAAACTTTGTGGATAAACATGTGAGGTACCCTTCATTTTTATTTATTTTTCTTTCAAGATACTGTAGTACCCTTTGTTTGGTTGTGGCATGGATGAGCCCTGTTGGCATTGTGAAGATTATGCACTATTAAGGATGGATTTACTAGGATGGCACCTTTTAGTAGATCCCCCAAACACAGTCAACACATGGTGATAAGACCTTGGCACTGTGTTGGCAAAGCAAGGAAAAATCCCTCCTTCCAGTACACCATAAGCATGTGGCCCAGATTTCAATTGTTCATTGGGCATGCTGTGATGTGTCTTTGGTCTCACATTATTGATTTATTGATTTATTTCACTTACTTATGGTGTATGTGACAAAAATTTGCAGAAGAAGCATATTCGGTACACATACTCCTTGTTCCTAGGAAGATCAGGAAATAGAAAGGTAGAAAGTATGATCACAAACAAAACCTTTCACAGTTCAATTGAACTGATCATTCATGATATCCTGTTAAAATACAATAACAGGGTTCCCTACATCATGAGGCTACTGAGGTGGACCTCCATGTCAGCTAATGTAGACCAGAATAAAAATAAAAAACGGGATAACCTATAAAAAGTAGCATAAAAATAAAAATGAATGGGGTTCATAAGTTATGCTACTTTTTAAAACTTGGCTTTAAATTGAAAATAATCAATAAGTCGCATTGGGATCCGAACTTTCATTTTTCGCATGATTGGATGTTCCAACCTAAGTGTGAGGCAACCTGTCCACCTAAGTGTAAATCGCTACTACTTCGACTTTCCAGCAATTGGCTTGCAAACCTCAAAATCACAGATTCTCGCTGTCATTGAACAAATGGATATACTTTTGAGTCGAACATCTAGATGAACGACTAGTGATCCTCTTGTTGTTACCACGTGTACCCATGAGTAAATTGCTGGGTCAGGCAGTCGTTAGCATACCAACAAAGGTTGAAAACACCACTGGAATCGGTCCAAAGTCGCATCCTTTCAGCATAAATGTGTCAGGGAATGAAGCCCAGGACTCGTGATGCCGTGTGCTCCAGACAACAAGAATAGCAAGCCATGGCACTCATCAGAAACACATGTCTGGACAGATTTCCAATCAGCATAGTCTAAAAGGGTCCAGGAGTTGGAGACGTTGTGCAACCTTTTAGAGTCTTCACCCAAACCTCTGCAAAATGGAAGCTCGTCAGCCGATGGTTAGCATAATACTCAAAGATGCTGGGTATGTGCGGATCATCGGAGATGGCGACAAAACCATTGCTCGAACAAAGCTGAAATCATGAAACAGAATTTGGCGACAGAAAAACCTAGTACGTTTAGCATGACCGATCTGCTTTACGCCAACTTTTTTCCAATACCATTGATCGCACCTTTTGGGGGAGGCTATGGGGTGCAGCAATTAAATGAGGCGTACGGAATCGAAAAGAACTCATCAGTGTGACAACCATACTTTGCTACTATACATGTATTTGGTAAAATGTGACTACAGGAAAAGGTTGTTAGGATTCAAAACATGCGAGAAGATTGAAAAAATGCGCACTTGCCAGAGCGATTTCCATTAACCTAAGTTACAGCCAATCCAGCAACCTGATCAAGAGCTGCCAGGAACTGCTTTTCTTACTTTTCTGCAGATTCTCTGGATAAGTCCAAAACAAAACTAATCCTCCCTCAGAGTATTGAACCTTCTCAACGAAACTGCCGCTAATGCGATCCTCTGTGCTGACTATATTTACAGAAAATATACCCTTGGCTGCATGCATGGACCCCGAAAAAGATCCTCTTATTCAACTATACGAGCGTCATTACTCTTCGTCAGAGTGCTTCACCACATCCTTCATGATCAGCCTTGCGCGAGTCCATACTGAGCAGCTGCACTAAAAATTGTTCTTTTCACGTCTTCGGTTTCCATTTTCGAATCCATCTGTTGTGAGGTCATGAAACTCTGATCAGTAGACAAGCAAACCCTTCATAAAACTAGCAAAAATCGCTGGTCATAAAACATTGACCCAGAGAACGGAGATAAATAATCTCATTTATCACCATACACGAGGATGTTTGCACATGGTGATGAGATTAGTAAATTTATTTACCTCGGCGACAAAACAGTTGAGAATGTTTTCCTGAAAGGCTGTGTGGTGTGCATTTATAACTTGTACACCCAAAGATTCCACCGCTTGCACCAGTTGCACTAACACACCTGGTCCTCTTTGGCAAAATATTCGAAAATGGTAGGTCTGTTCCTCCAGCCTTGCCACGTCCACCTGGCGAGAATAGTCGAAATGAACCGTCAGAAACCGGTGAAATAAGGATAGACTTCAGGATAGAACATATATATATATATGTTCTGCAGATTCTCTCAAAGTTTCGACCATATACACAAATTGATGATCCAACAGCCAGGGCTTACTTCCAAGATTTTCTGAGCCAGTCGAGCTGGCAATTGTACTTGAGTTGCATCGGCCGAAACTACATCAACACTGTCAACTCCGGGCTCAGCTCCCTGAATTTCTACTCCAGAAGCCGGATTGGAATAGGTTGGGCTGGAGAAATTCGCTCCGGTACCTGCCTCTTCCACTGACCCTGTTTCTTCGCCAACTGATCCAGTGCACTTCTGTTCCAAGTCGTCGATCTCAGATTCTATCTCCTCAAGCTCTTTCTGGAGTTCACGGACGTAGGCTATTGCATCGCCAATGATGGAGGCTTTGTCCATCTGCTCAAGAAACAGGACATTCATCAACTATGGTCCTGAGTATCAATAAAAAGGAAATGTGGACTCCTACAGCTGAAGTATCCGGGGAGTGCCAACACCTAGGTTATTGGTGAACAAGGTGGTCAAAGATATTTTACCTTACTGATCTTCGGAACCACAGCCCGCAATTGGAAGAGTCCCTCATTGAGTTTCTTTCTCCTCTTACGCTCCGACACCAGGTTTTTTGATGCAACACAACGACTGTGGGAACACTTCCTGCCACCTGGTTTTTCCTCAGCAGTATCGGAGGAGTTGGCAGGTATTTCCATAACATCATCACCAGGTGAGCCTATTATAGGAGAACTTTGAGAATGCTTAGAAGCTGGTGCAGTGACAGGCTGGGTAGAGAACTCCCGGTCCCCAACAACACCCCCCCACATGCTCGTCGAAGTTTGTGAACTGTTCGGAACCAACGGATTCGGGTTCACATCCCGCTGATCAGGGATATCGCTAGAGAAGTCTTGTAGCAACCAGAAAGGGTCAGGAAAATGCGAGTCGCTTCGTGCTATAGGCTTGTGATTCATGGTCGCTTCATTCGACGGAGGAGTGTCAGCGGGCAAGGATGTTGGACAGTAAGCTTGCAGGGAGTTTCTGAGCTGCTGGGCTATGGTGGCTGGAGGAATGCTACTGCCACTCAGATGTCTAAGCTTTCGATACATATCCGCGGTACATATCCACAGTCATGAAATTAGGTCCGAAGTTGGGAGTCGTGCATTCAATCAAGCGATTCAAGCCTGTTCACATGACGAAGAAACAGACAATTCCAACACATTAATAATTAACTCTTCGCGATCAGTTCAAGGGCAGAGAACTACCCCAACGAACCAAGCCCCAAAGAAAGGTGCAGTGCTTTAATCTGCTCACTTCGACTAGCAATGGCAGGGCACTAAAACTGAAACCCCTGCTCCATTAGACATACGAAACATGGGACTGCAAGGTGTAGCGTGGAATACTGAACAGTCAGCACTTCCTTGAGCATTCACAATACGCGAATCAGTACGACTACACTGCTGGAAGTTCTCGCTACAGTGACCACTGTCGCTTGGACAGTTCTGAACAGGAGCAAGCGGGTAGAGAAGAAGCTTAGAGAACAGGAGAATAGAAACTGATTTTGTTAAATAAGGCCAAGGGCAATCGTCATAGGTGCTCTGTTAGACCTGACCAAGACTCAATTCTAAACAAGCATTCCTAATCCCAACCATCGAAGCAATGAAGTGCAGGGCAATGGCTCAACACAAGTTGCAAGAGCAATTGACTTCAAGCCACGCAGAATATCAGTGAGACTTACAGGTGTAACAGGAGACGAACAACACCGATACTAACACAAAGTAGAGTTTGATCGTTACGATGTGTGAAAACCACTCGGAGGTAGAGGGATGACTGAACACAGCAATCAGTAACCTGTACCACGACATTCGTGCACATTCACTGCACCCCCGCTCACCTAACTTCAGTCCCCAAGTTGCACAGGGATAGTACCGTGTCTTGATCTACCAATAAAACAAAGCACTCGCATACTGAAAACTATCCTCTCACCCAGCTACTCTTGTGCTGAACCGGAAACCAACACCAAATTCGTATTGCCATTCCATTCACACCCTATCTCGCAGCGTGTAACAACTGATGATGCACACGAAGGTCGATCTTCACCATTCATCTAATAACCCAAACACACCACCCACTCCACGCACGCAGATAAAGGAAAACCCACTCCGACTCTCTCGCCTGTAAAGAAGTCGGAGAAGTGTCTCTCAGCAACAACAATCTATCAGCAAACGACTGGTCCGACTCAAAGCATTGGCAGTCAAATTCGACTCTTCTAACCAAAACCCAGGCAAGACTACCCACCTTACTGAGCCGAAATTGCAGAGCTAGGCAGTCGAAGCACATCCGGATACTAACCAGCCAACCCAGACCACCTCAAACACAGAAGAAGAAGAAGAAGAAGAAGAAGAAGGGAGACTACGTGCCCTCTTCTCGGGACGCAGCACTGGACACACGACGACTTGCTAGAGTGGTGAGTCTGAGCTAGGTAGATAGATAGATAGACTGGGGTTTGAGGAAACGAATACCCAACAAGGGAAGGGTTTGAGACAGGAAGAAGAAGCTGTGGAACCAGAAAGCAATCGAACTGGAAAAGTGGTCTTGTTGCCTTTACATTCCAGGTCTGGCGTTGCCAGTGGGCAGCAGCAGAGCAGAGAGCAGCAGCAGTGTATCTCATGGCCCAACATGATGGACCCCGACCACAGGTTTTGTCTTTCAGGTCCAGTACTCGGCTGACTCTTCTTCTGTACATGGCCCAAAATTATGTGGATATTTACGGGATAAGGCTGATGTTGATGTAATAGTACACTGATGTAATAGTACCACTGGAATCAGTGTGCCTCTCTCAACTTCTTGGAATTTAAGGATTCAGCTCCGTGTGGCCGAAGAGATCGATGCCGCAGCCTGCTTATTGTTGCTGCTGCAGCGGTAGATTTGTCACCCATCTAGACTGGACTCCAAACCAAAGCTTGGTAATATATTTCTTTAGCTTTCATTGAATGATAATTTGTGTGCGTCACACATACACACACACGCACACACACGCACACACAGGTGAGTGTTGCAGTGAGTCCACAAACATTGTAGGAAGATTCCATTTTCTATTAAAGATTTTACCGAGAAAATGGCATTCGTTTATGCTTTAGTGTTTATTTTATGGTGGTGTGTAAATGTGATATGTTTTATAATTTGGAATGAAGATGTTGGAACTGTGCTGCTTGTTGGGTAGTAACTGGAAGTTTACTCATTGAAACAAAAATATTCTTTGAAATAAAATATAATGGAATAACCAACTTCTACAGACGTCAGATTTGTTGATACGTCTTCATTTCAAAAATCCTGAGGGTTTGTTAATAACAAATAAAATTAAAAACTCTAAGTCGGTGTATTTGAAGAGTTTTCCAGAGAAGCTCAACGTTTTCAGGATATAATGAATTAATACTGTGAAATAATTAAACCTCAACCAAAGACTTTTGTATTTTTTTTTTTCATTACAATATTAGTACTTATCCTAATTTAGTGAATCATCGTTTCTTTGATTCACTTTACATCCTATGTATTTACTTAAAAGCATACTATTTGTACAATTGTTGTATCTTATGTTGACGAGATATATAAAATTTATAGGGTATATGTATTCATACATGACTTTAAAATATTTCAAGAAACATGCATTACGATTAAATTAAATATATTTTTAAAATAAAATCTTTATAATATTGTTGATTATTAAATATGTGTACATACAAGGTATTATTGATGCCACCACAACCTCCCACCCACTTAATATATTTCTCTAGTTTCTTCTATTTTAATTATAATATCTTCTGATTTTTTTTCTTTTTTTTCTTATTTCTCAAATTATATAAAACACGTATTTTTTTTAAATAATTAAAATTTTAATAAAAATGATTTCTTTCATTATAAAATTTAATGAAAAACTAATAAATTTCTAAAAATAATAAATCCATGAATTTAAATATAGATGATTGATCAAAATTACATATATTTTTTTATGTAGCTTGACAAAAAAATATGGGTGACATGTAGTAGATAGGAGGTTATGGTGGCAATAACAATATCTTATACAATATACATATATAAAATATGTAACATCATTTGTATAATTAACATAATCAATATTTTCTTTAAATGTCTTAAATTTGACTGATTTTCTTGAGTGATTCCAAAAAAAAACAACACAAAGTACACACACCCATACAAAGTTATATATACCAAAATTTTAATAAAATCCAATAATTATTTATGTAGTAGATAATTTTAGAACATTGTTTTGATGCAAAAAAAATTGAATCATTTTATTTGCAAAAATATTCATACTGAAGTAAAATGAAAAGAAAGATCTATACCTCTATATACATAATTGATAAAATAAAAGAAACCAATCTAAAATAGTATGTTTTATAATAATTACAATTGAGAGTGAAACACATTGTCATAAAAAGTGTTGGAGGGTAGAATAAATCATATAATTTTTTTTCTTAAATTTAAAATTATGTATATGTATATATATATATATATATATATATATATATATACATATTCTTGTACATTATTAGAAGTATATTACGAACTTTTGTATTTCTATTCTTATACCATTTATTTGCAAAAAATTATATTAAGTGATAAGAGGATTATAACAATATTCCAGATTTTATAGCTTTTCTTTGCTACCATGTTCATTGCAAAGAATTTCCACTTAATGAGCTTTTTTGCGAAACCAAAATGCATTTAAACACTCATTGGATACAACTTCATGAACCCCGAGTCTAAATATATTGTGTGGTCATTTTATCAAATCTTTAAAAAAAAATTGTAATAACCACAAATATATTTTTAATATATATAGGGGAATGATAAATAGACCCAATTTTTACTATATTTATTCATCCTCCAAACCATCATATATAAATAAAATAAATAAAAAAATAAACCTCTAGATTCATTTCTCCACTATTGGTTTGCTTCGACCCACAGGTCCTTCCACAACATAATGTAACACCCAGCGCTGACATTGCGCCATGTAATAAAATATAAAAGAAATAAGGCCCACGGATTCCTGCCCACGTGTATTGTCAGGCACGTTTTCGGATCCTCGTGGATGAATGAAACTACAGTGAATGAAAAGTAGATGATAACCTTGTCGCTATCCACGGCGCATAGCACAGCCCCTGCCATTCATTGTCCTATGCTGTTGTCGAACGAATGAACGACCAACCCATTCATCCGTCCATTTGCGTATCATTTATGAATATCTTCACGAAAGTTTCTTTTTCCCAATCACTACATTTGTCTTCACTATCAACAAAACGTCCCACATTATCTTTACATAACAACCTAACATGAAATCTACGTAACATCTACATGCAACGCTCCCCGCCTTTCTTGGCGGGGTCTGACTTTGGAACAAAGTGTCTGAGCTCTTACTTTTTCGTTTTCCGTGACGACAATTACCTTTTTCCAAGAGATATATCGACTTTCTATAAATGTCATCACCGTCGCGTCGACGGCATGTGGGGGGTTTTTTCGGAGGAGGCGCTGTTGGTCTCGCAGTCCATGGCCATCGACATAGACATGGCTTGTTTTCGACTGAAGGGCCTATCAATAGACAGCAAAGCTGCGGGGAAATGCTTGAAGACTAGGCCTCAATTTTCTAATTGTGATCGAAAAAGCTGGGAGGAACAATGTGACCTTCAAAGCAGGTTCCGCATGGGAAGCGAAGCCATGCCGCGACAGACATATCCACCCGCTCGCTGCGAGCGCGATTCCGTAGCCAACCTGGGCTCTGCGACCCCGTGAATGGTCGTGGCAAAAGTTGCAGCATGGTAACATTAATAACAGCGCAGGGTCCAGTCGAGGCAGGGTACGAGGACCGCCACCAAGTGAAGAAAACGTGACTCTGGTTGAATTCTTTTATTCTTCGGGGACTACTGGAATGGGTCGAAATGGTTTTTGCGGGTGGCACGGTGACATGAAGACTCGGGGATTTTCATTTCGGATGTCAGATCGCTTGAAAATGCCTTTAGGCGGCAAGAGCCAGATATGCTAGGGCGGAGAATACGCAGGTTGCCGTTGACGATGGGCTGTTGGATCGCTGGTGGAGCTCCGGTGGCGCTGCGGGCACTCCAGTGGAAGGTTCGCCTGCACTCCATGCTTGTGATGGTACGTTGTTATTCTCACTCTGGGGATATTCGGTGGTTTCACTTTTATGAGGGAGGGTAATGTGAAGGGGGACGTTAGTTTGTATTCTTCAAGCTTGACCTCGACCACAGAAAAAACGAGCTCAATCGAGCATGTTGATGCCTTATAGTTAGCAGAAATTAGATCACCTTGTCCAGCCAGCACTGATGCCAACTTGTGCCAAACCACTGTGTGAGCTCTCAATTATACTCTAAAATTTAAATTTTTGTTATTTTCCTATTTTATGATAATTAAACATATTAGATTATGATTTATATAAGTGAAATTTAGTTTTATAGAATTTTTAGGATTACAACCCTTGATGGTATAAATCATAGTGTAATTCCTTGAATTAGGTTAATTAGGACTAAAGTGATAAGAGTTAGAAAATTAGAATAGCAACTTAGTTAGTTTAATAATTTAGAGGTTGTTAGTCATTACTATAAGGGTTGACTAAAAGCCTATGAGTGCATTTATAATCATTCACATGATTTAGGAGTTGAAATTATAATTCTCTAAAAGATTTAGGGAAGTTAGCAATGATAATTTTGGATTTTCCTCCAAATTTAACAAATTTAAGCGGCATGGTGGTTCTTCTACTTAATGGGAGTCTTTTTGATGCAATGGTGGCACTGGATATACCTCGTGGAGTGAAGAAAACAAAATCAGCAACCTCTCCTTCAAAATACAAGAGAAGTAATGAAATTCTCATTTTGAAGAATTTCACAAAAATTGCCAAGATCCTTGTAAGTAAAAACTTCCATGAAAATTATAATTGAGCATGGATTGAGGCATGTGAATAGTCGAACTTAGCTTAAGAAGGTGTTTTGAACACAATAGTGAAGTTAGATTTACAAAAAAATTGCTTTCTTGACTACTTACAAGAGCCATCAGCCTTGGTAACGAGATTGGCTCTTGGATGAATGAAGGCCATAGATCTAGATTAGGGATCTTAAAAATCAAGGGTGGAGATGTAGCCACCTTTCTATGAGCCTCTACTCAATTGTATAAGAGAGGCTTGGTTTTCCAAGCCCTCTCTCTCTCCTCTTTTAGGTGAAAGGCAGAGCCATGCCAAAATTTGACCGAAACCCTAATCTTAATTTTATTTAGATTTTAATCCTCATTATGAACCTTGTAATTGTGTATGTATGGATTTTGCATTGTGAAGGATGGTCATTAAGTTTTAAAATATGTTTCATTGAAGTAGATATCTCCTCGGCCTTTCAAATATTCCAAGGGTTTCAACAACCTTGGATTTTTTTCAATCTATCACTCAATTTCTGTTTTTCAATGTGAGATTCTAAATAATTATAGCTTTTTTTGTTAGCTTTCCAATAAGATAAGACTTGCTTGATTTTGAGTAAGAAGGAATTTTTGGTGAATTTTTGAGTTTGAAGGAGT